AGGGGAGGGCTCAGAAAGGAAGTGAGGGGAGTCAAAAGAAAGCTCAGCAGCGGGCCTAGGGGAGAGCAGCACCATGTCAGCGCAGACGTGGGACTTACAGTCTGTTCTCAGTGTTGGGATTCCTGGGGTGATGCCGGCCAGCAGCCACATTGCACCCCTCTGACACCTCTCCTGCAAGGATCTGCACAGACGCCAACTCTTCCAAGTCCCCCATGGAGATAAGAATTGTCCCCTTATGGCAGATGGGGAAACTGAGTCCTGGAGAGGGGAGCGGACGTGCCCAAGGAGATGCCATGGCAGAGCCAGTAGAACCCCCTGCCTCGCTGGAGACAGGACGCGAGGGAAGCAACCTCAGCGTAGTGCGAGCAGCCCTGGCACCAGTCCGGCACAGCAACCTCCGTCGAGCCCTCTGCTCCGGTAACCACGTCCCCCACCCAGCACTAGTTTCATTTCATTAGTGCTCCTGCGGGTCCGAAAGCAGCCCCGATGGCTGCAATTAATGTCCACAGCGCCACTCCGAGCCAGCCCCGCCCACAGAGATTCACCAGCGGGTTTGCATGCAAAGGCACGGCAGCAGCATCCCTTGGGCCGAGCTGCCTTTTGGTGCCAAGGCAGGTCTCCCAAAGCAGGGAGGAGAGGAAGGGGCCTGTGGGAAGGTGCACAGGCGCCGAGCACCGTCACCGAACACGCGCCAGCCGTCTGGTGCGCTGGGATGGGGGTTGCTTGGTCTTGTTGTGCTGAGCATCATCTTGGATTTGTCCAGCCCAGCCGACGAGCACCGGTGGTGCTGCTCAAGCTCCGAGGTTAAGAGGGTTGGGGAACGTCCACTTGGTGCTATGGAAGCCAGGCAACTAAACCCCGACCAACCAGGGGGTGGTCTCTGCATTCCAGTTACTCCCATAGGGCGCTAGGTGCCATCCAGGGAGGCACCGGCCTTGGTCCAAGAAGCTTGTGTGAAAAGCTCCGTCCATGCACCTCAATCCAGGCGTGCAGCTCCCCACTCGTTGCTGTTCAGTCCCTGGGATCTCCCCAGGCTCTTCTCTTGATGCACCTCAGTCCTGGCCTGCCACACCAGGACTCTCCTGCGGTTACACACCCTGAACCGGGCCGGGCTGCACAGCAAGCGTTTGGTGTGGGCAAAACGGCCAGCGGTCCAACTGATTTCACCCGTGACCCCTCCATTGCTCTCTACACCTCCCGAGGTCAACGGTGCACTTGTGAGATTAGTGTCCCCGGGAACAAAGCATCTCCCACGTCACCCCTCACACCCCTTTTCCTTGTTACAACTGATCTGGGTACCAAGGGGACAGGACCTTCACAACACAGAAGAAATATAATGTAGCCGCAGAGGTGGGGCCTACTTGTCCAAGCACAGACCTAGGACACAGTAACACATTTTGATCCTGACTCAGAAAGACTCTTTTAGATCCTGGAAAAGTGAGTGAACTTGTTGGTTTTAGTTTCCTCATCTAAATGGGGATGCTGTGATGGACTGCATTCAGACCGGGTTCTCTGGCGGTCATGGGCAAAATAGTTCCCCATCTTGCAGACAGGGAAACTGAGGCAGAGAGAGCCCCCCCCCCCCCACTAACATATCAGTTACCCACAGTCACTTAGCCCAGACTAGGCACGAAAACAGTGGTTCTCAGTTAGGGATTCAGGGTACCCTGGGGGCCACAGGTAGGTTTCAGGGGGCTGTGACCCACAGCCCCTCCCTTGGGGGAGGGGAGAGCAAAGCAACTTAGCTTTGTCCATCTGTGGCCTGGGTCCTAGCAACTGCCTGCTTGCTACCCCCTAACACTGGCCCTGGCTTTTATACACACAACAACAGCTGTAGCGAGGCTGTGGAGTTTAACCAGCATATTAGAGGTGGGAGGGAGTGTCTCAGAGCAAGGCTGAGAATCCTTGCACGCGAGAACACGGGCAGGGGATCTCCGCTGCTTTCTCCTCACCGGTAAGCCTGCTTAACTGGGGTGACAGGTCATCTGCTGGGACAGCGAACTAAAGGAGTCTTGACTTTAGCTTAGAAGCGTCTTGTGAGCATATTCATGTGTCCATGGTGATCAAGGGATTTGGGGGCTCAATTCAGTCTGGTGCTTGCAGGTCACACGGGTTTCACAAAAGTTTCCTAGGATGCTGCAATTCTGCACAGAAGCCCAAGTCATTTAAAAACCACGGCTCTCATTCCTCCGGTAGGGCTAAAAAAGGCTCAGAGGGCCTCAGAACCACAAGAGCTCTGCTTGTAAAGCTCAATCCAGGGGCAAGGTACAAGACAGATCAGCACAGAGCCAAAAACTTCAGGCAACCTATGAGCCTGATGCAAGACCAAAAGAAAGTAAAGTCCCCTTTGTGCCGTCCCTATTTGGGGCTTGGTCAGATCCAATTTGGCCTCTGACGTAGGTTGGAGCAGCCTCAGCACAGTCCTAACTTGCACCAGTCGTCTCGAGGGCTTGTTGGGTGGTGGAAAATAGCTATAGCACAAAGATGCTTGGGTCCCCTCCCCCTCTCCTGGAAGCCCCTTACTGGGCTGTCACCGAAACATAGCAGCGCCAACCTGCCGGTCCTGGCACCTTTGTGCAGGGGGAATCCCTCAAGAGCCGAATCTGCCAGCCCTACCGCCTCTTAATGCCAACAGAGGGGCCACCCGGCAGAGCTGAATCAGGCTCTTGAGGGATGCCTGGAAGAGCCAGAAGACGGGGAGACAGGGAACACCGCCAGAGGGGAGAATATAAAATGTGAAAGTATTTAAGTATTTCCCCAAGGCATGGGGGTAGTGGGAGCAACTACAGTCTGTTTTGAACCCAAGCGTCCATCCCATTTCAGCCTTTGCATGTGCTGTTCAAGGCCCCCAACTCCGCTCCTAGAAATCACATTGCTTATTAATGTCCTCGCAGTGTATCAGCATAAACCGCACCAGTTCCCCGAGTTTGACAAGAAGCCAGGCTTCCCTTTGCAGTGAGTATTTCCTGGGGGACTAGGAGTGCACAGCCTAAGGAGATGTAATTTGATAAGGGTGGATGAGACTCATGACTGGGCCTTTTCTATAGTGAAGTCACCCATGCAGGCAGCAAATTGGAGGTGCTGAAAGGACTCCGGTTTGGGAACTTGACAGCTCAGGGATAGAAAAGACCTACTAGATAATTGAATCTTTCCCTTAGGAGTGGCTGGATCGGAGGGGAAGTTGATACTTCCTGCAGAGCGGGCCAAGAAGCCCGGATCTCCTGCTACCCTGACCCAGGAGTCAGTTAACCAGGTATCATCCTTACCGTGATCACGCCCCCTTTCCCCGCCTGCCTTCAAGCTCTAGCACAGCCTCCAGGAACAGAAAGGGAAGCGCAGAAAGTGGAGGCGGAGCATGAGCGGTTGGTACAAACCGGGATCCTGTGCTCCTGGAAGTGGGCTGGAGCTCCGGGAGCCGGCCAATGGGAAGCAGAGAGTATGATGTCATCATGCTAATCACAGCATGGCTCTAGCTAACAAAGAGAACAATGGGGCTACCAACACTGCCCCACTTCCACCCATGAAAACCGCACGAGGGCCCCACAAATCCTATCAATGAAAATGAAATGATCACCCTGCGCCCCACATCTACGAAGAGAGGCCACAGTCAGAGGTCACGGCAGAAAGAGGAGGGAGGAAAGGCCAAGTATCCTGGAGGTCAGCTTGCAAACAGGCAAGACTCAGATCTCCACAATGATTTTTGATACTAAAAATGTGTATTTTATTTAGCTTGCAGTTTTCTTTAAGACATAACTTGAAAGACTAGAAGGATATTTTTTATGTGAAAGAAACAAAATCCAACCGGCACACCCCCGGCCAAGTATCACCAGGGTTGAGGCGTGCCCTTGTGTCCTTTTGTGACAGATTTTTTTGCGGTGAGGGATCCCTACCCCTCCACAGCTACTTCATATCTCAAGAGTTTAACATATTTTTAAGTAAAATGCAGGACAATGTAGCACTTTAAAGACTAACAAGATGGTTTATTAGATGATGAGCTTTCGTGGGCCAGACCCACTTCCTCAGATTAAAGTGCTACATTGTCCTGCATTTTGCTTCAGCTACCCCAGACTAACACGGCTACATTTCTATATTTTTAAGTAGCAGCTGAAATTAAGAATCCTACTGAGATCAAATAAGTCTCTGACAGTATTGCCTTAAGAGAGCGGGTGGAGTAATCAATTAAATAAATGAAAGTATTTTCATCTATTTCATGGTCATTGTATTTTGCAGTCTATTTCCACAGACTTGAAAAGTCCAGCAAACATGAGAACTTTGCTAGTATGTAACATACACACTGTGTAGCAGGCCTATATAGTTTAAACAACAGCAAACTATAAAGCAAAATATTTACAATTGTGGAGTCATTTTAAAATGACACACAGGGAGTGGGCTTGGTCCTGAAATAGAATTAAAAGTGTCTCTACGAAGAGTTTGGTGAGCTTTTGTTTCTGACAAGTTTCCACACTGCACTCCTCAGCACAAAGAAACAAAGACGAAAACTGACCCAAATAAAAACTGGGATGGGCCAGAGCATCTCAGACTTTCTGACTGCAGGATTTTTGGTTGCTACACGGGCATAGGTGTTCAGGGAAAGAAAAACCCAAAATACCAAAGCACACACACATCACTGTGCTATGCCATCCCTGCCAAAAAGACAGGCCAACACCTTTCTGGCCCAGGAGTATTTAAGCTACAAGATTCTCTAGTTCTCTCCAAACCTATCCATGTATTCAGGTTCCCAGGCCAAGTTATTCAGGCACTAATTGTAAGTCTGCTAACCTCTCTCGAATATGGAGGGGGAGTATTTTAAGTGACATATGTAGAAATACTTTGGTTTCTTCTACAGACTTGCATCTCCTCCTTTCTCCATTTTAGACAGTGTTACCTGGGGAGCCCCACGCTGCCTATCAGAGAGCGGGGGACTGAGGGCGTGCCAGGGAAGAGCCCCACCGCCAGTGTGCAAAACAAAAGGGGGGAAAAAAAAGGCCGCTGAAGTTTACCTTGTCTCCCCACAATCTCGGCTACATGTTCAGAGCTGGGGACAGGGACACACTCAGTCATGTTGACGCTTTTCTTTCTGCTTCCAATGATGCTCAGCTGCTCCGCCAAGATGGAGGGGTGGGGGTGAAAGTTGCCGAACA